CTTTGGATCAGCATAGCATCGATCGTTGTGCTCATTTGGGGAGTAAATCATTGGACAGAAGATCTTTCCCCCTGTTTCTCCTCCTCTCTGTATATCTGACTTTGCAATAAAAATAAATAAATCTTTAAAAGAAAAAGAATTATATATTTTTATTGCAAAGTCAGATATTCACTCCCCAAGTGACCACAATGGTTGGTGCTGTGTCAATCCAAAGCCAGGAGCCAGAAACATCCTCCAGGCCTCCCATGCAGGTGCAGGATCCCAAGGCCCTGAGACATCCTAAACTGCCTTCCCAGGCCACAGACAGGGAGCTGGATGGGAAGCGGGGCTGTCATGATTAGAACCAGCACCTATATGGGATCTTGATGAGTTCAAGGCGAGGACCTTAGCCATTAGGCCACCACTCTGGGCCCACACTGCTGCATTTCTGACACACTGCTGCATTCCTGTATCTGCTTGTGAGTGAGGACCAGAAAGGAGCCCAACCAGACACAAGAACTATAGCCAAGATGACACATGAGGACAAGCCTCCTCACAACTGAGGCCTTTTAGTCACTCTTTGGCTCTCATTTTCTTGTGGTTAATCCTCAACTTTAACATCTTTGGGTGCTGTTATCTGAAAACACAGCACATTAACTTCCTTATAACTTTGACATGCTCATTGCTACTAAACCACAACTATTCTTACAGAGGCGCAATGGGTGCCCACCCCTTACATCACTTTTGACATGTCTAGGCCCAAAGAATGCTGATGCACCTGTTAGACTTCCACCCAGAATCACAAAACCGATCCAAATTCCACCAGTATCTGCTCTGATCCATCCTGCAGGCAGAAACAATACTAAATTCCCAGGCATCTCCCAGAAATCATATCCCACCATTTCCACATCTTCTGATTGACCCCTACACACTTGAAACCAAACACATATGAAGTAAATTTGAGAGCGAGAGCTTCAGATCACCCCCTAAGAAAGGGACATGCTAGCAGCTTAAGAGTACAGCCCTTGGGGTGTTGGGGAGTTAAAGCTGCCTGAGGTCCACAGCCCTAGCTCAGTCCTTACTGGACACATCAGAGAAAGAAAAGTACAATAATGCCAGCTTGGGTCTTCAAGTACTGCCCAACACAGCATACAATGGCAGCTTTAAAATTTATTTCCTACTCACACGTCAGGCTCTTGCAAAACTGTTACTTGCAACTGCCCACACTTCACTGTCAGTGCGAGGACTTCTCACTGCACCTCCTCTCCAGGACCCACAGTCCTTGAGTCCATGCAAAGAGGCATACCCCCACACAATCTTCCTCAACAGTCTCCTATGGTCTCTGGGATGCAGATGTCCGAGCAGCATCCTAACCACTGCACCAAAGCCTGCCCCTCAGTCTCCTATGGTCTCAAAGTCTTCAAAGCACTTTATACCTAACTTGTAGCAATCAGGAATTCCACTTATACTGGAAAAGTATTTGGCACTGGTGGAAGTTAAAACTGCCAAATCAATACCACATCTGGAGCCCGGTGCGGTGACCTAGCACCTCAAGTTCTCGCCTTGAATGCACCAGTTCCCATATGGGCGCCTGTTCTAATCTAGCTCCCTGCTTGTGGCCTGGGAAAGCAGTCGAGGACGGCCCAAAGTCTTGGGACCTTCACCCATGTGGGAGACCCGAAAGAGCTCCTGGCTTTGGATCGGCTCAGCACCAGCCATTGCAGTCACTTGGGGAGTGAATCATCGGAATGAAAATCTTCCTCTCTCTTTCCTCCTCTCTCTATATATCTGACTTTGCAATAAAAATAAATAAATCTTTAAAAAAAAAGAAAAAGCATCTGTTTCAGGTGATGTACAAACCCAGTGGTGTCATCTCAGCCACTGAAATCCAACTGTCATCTCCCTCAGAGGATGTCAGTCACTCGGTCTGTCATGATAGCAACAGAAGTTTTGCCTTCTGAAGTCAACAGAGGTTCCAAATTCCAAAATTCCAGGCAATAGTCTCAGATGGCACAAGACAAATGCAAGAACCACCCTGTTTCAAGCATGATTTAATTTCTTAAAATAAGCAAATGCTTAACTTCAAAGAGCTGTCAGAACTTTATCAGCTATGACAGCTATCCATAACAGACTTCCAAAACAATCCTTCTCAATGTACTGACAAACTCTGTCATAAAACCTTTAGGCTAAAATAATTCTAACTTCAAAAATACAGATAATAAGAGGTTTCTTCAATCAAATGCTTCCACTTAAACAAAACTAATTATTTCAATTTTGTATTAGTATGTCGATTTTACATTTTTCTTTATAAGAGGAAAATAATCTTCAATGAATATGCATTTTTAAAAGCTATGACTACATCAATAGTTCTATATAGGTACTTAAAAAACTTCATGAAAAAATAGAATACAAAGTCAAATTCCTTTGGTGCAGAACAATTTTGCTTTCATCACACACAATTTCCTTAAACTTTTTGAAGACTCCTGGTAATACTGACAAAGTACTTAATAAAGAGATGAATAAGTTATTCCTGAAAGCAGGGTTTTAATGTTGCAGCTAAACCATCATTCTAAACTAGAAATCAAATTATCCTAAATTACTAATGCAGCATACTCCTTCCTCTCACACCAAGAGTCAACCCACCAATCCTACTCCATCCTGTGGACTTTAGATATCTTAAGCCAATCCTAAAACTTTTTTCTTCCAAAATTTACACACGCTTTACCTGCCAGCCCTCCTCCAGGACGTATGAACAACACAACTACTGACACTGCCGTCAGGCACTGCCACCCATGAGGCAAGGGGACACGTCCTCAAAGTTTATAACACAGAATGTAACATCCATTTTTACCATCATCTTGGGAAATAATCATATCCATACACAAAACATACAAAGAGAAGAAAATGTCTAATAAGATGAAACAGGACTCAAAAACAGTAACTCTGCCATGGAACGCAGAAACTGATCAAAGTGTGGATCAGAACCCAAAGAGACCAACTTTTCATTGCCTAAGTCCAAAATATTCAGTAGTTATGCCTCCCATTATAGAATGATCAGTACTTCAGCTATTACAAGTTCTTACCCAACGATTAATTATTCATTCAGCCCTTCTTTGATGAGCACCTGCTACAGGCAAACCATCAGTCTGGAGCTACAGTACAAGGTCAATATCTGCTTCTAAGGAGTTAATGTTATACATGGTCAGGACAAGAATCCACCAGGTAGGTTCCCACTGTCATCACAAAAAACAAAATGCCACAGAAGCTACCATGAGCATTCGAGTATGAAAAAAGAAAAGAAAAAAGACAGGAAGCCTCGTGACAAACTGTACCTGAGCCCAGCACAGCCACCAACCCCAAGCATGCAGCTGGGCTGGGCATTCCAATGGAAGTTAGAGGAACTGCCTGCCATCAGGATCTAACCCGAAAGAAATATCTCCACTAGTGAATGTAACTTGGGCTCCACGGACAAAGAGGATCAACAGGATTGCTCACGGAGAAAAGTACTACAATGAAAACTGTGCTAACAGGAAGTCAGCAAGAATCAACACCTACACAGAGTGCCACACGGGACAGTTGATTCATGTCATTGCGCCAGGCAGCCTCGCTGGGAACAAGACAGGTGCCTATTCCATTCTGTCAGGCCAAAGACATTACCTTTTCTGCTGTAATGTTGGGACCCGCTGTATGGGTTTACATCTGGGGATAATACTTCTCCACTTTGTATTTATAAAGAAAAAGGAAAGAAAAGAGAAAAAGAAGCCTGATTTCCATTCAACTGCTTTTACCACCCTGGTCTCTCTAAAAATAACACATTTCCTAATAAACTACTTTGTAAATGTTCTTTAAACCACACTGCAATTTAGTTAATGAAGACTAACAAAATATAAAAGCCATGTAGACTGTTGCTACAAGTTATGTTTCTTGTCCTCCACAATAATACACCACTTTGTATTAAATAACACAAAGCAGCAATTGGGTGTGTTTTTAACCAAAATGCATCTCCTAGGGAAACTTTCTGGGAACCGGGAGAAGCGGTCACCGCTGAGACACTGGTTACAGGTCTAGCTCTTTAGAAACAAAAAGGGAAAGTCAGTGATTAATTCTTGGCCTCTTCCTGCAGCGCCTCAGAAGTTCCTCTCCCGCAACTGCGGCACATCCTCTGCAACAGGTGACACCAACCTGCTCTTCCCCGGCAAAGCCAGGAAACAGACGACCGGGGGCGCACCTTCCTGCCCCTACTACTTTCACAAATCGGGTATATTTCCCATTTTGGGTTTCCAGGGCTTCCCTGTTTTGCTTTTTTTTTTTTTTATCAGCCATTTACTAGCAACTGTTGCACCAGCCCATTAACACTCCAAGAATAAAAACAAACACGGGACCAGATAAGGCTCCCCAGCTCACGCCACCAATCCAAGCTTCTTAAGCACAATTTTTAAGGCGCCCAGCTAGCCATGGAAAGCGAAGCATGTTCTGTGCGTGTATTTGTACAGCACAATCTGTCTCAATCCTCAATTCCCTTTTAAGGAACGGATATATAGTAAAAAAAAAAAATCTCAAAGAACCCATATTAGAAATGCAAAGAGGCTTGCAAAACAAGAGGCTTCTTTCATTCCAAAAACACACACACCAAAACAAGGGGAGAGAGATGAATGTGTGCCAAACTTTCAGCGCTGCCCGGTGGAGACACTGCACTGGCACAAATTCTGAAAAAAGCAGGGGTTTGGGGTGGGGGGGTAGGAGTGGGGGAGGGAGGGAGGAGGGGAGAGAGAGAGAGAGAGAGAGAGAGAGAGGCCTGCAAAGTGCAACAATGCAATCTCCATTTTGAACAATGCGCCTCTTTCCTCTGGTAAATCTAGTTTTTTCTTGCCACTCGAGGTGCCGTCGCGTTTCCCGGCTCCCCCGCTCCGTCTGGGGGGAGGGGGAGGTCGGAGCAGGAGGCTCGGCGCTCGGGAGGGAGCGGGCAGGGGGAGGGGAGAGCGGTGGGGAAGGAGCCGGCAGCCACGGGGCTGGGTGTGTACCTGGAGTGCTGCTGTAGGTGCTGTGGCTCCTGAAGCTGCTTTCCGTGCAGTAACTGGCGTCGTCGTCGTCGTCTTCCATGTCCTCCGGATAATCCGAGTCATCCTCGTCCTCCTCCATCTCCTCTTCCTCGTCGTCCTCGGAATCCTGGGTCTCCTCGGCGTCGCCGTCCTCCTCCTCCTCTTCCTCCTCTTCCTCCTCGGAGACCATGTCCTCCTCCTCCTCCTCCTCCTCGCTCTCGTGGTCATCGTACACCACTTTGTTGACGGCCCTCCGGGCCGGGGTGGTCCGGGCCAGGTGGCCGTGGCCGCCGCCGCCCCCCGTCCTGCCGCCCCCGCCTCCTCGCCCCCCCCGGCCCGGGGTGCTGGTGCTGGGGGGGGCCGACGGCTTCCTCCGGCTACTGCTGCCCCCCCGGGGCGAGCTCAGCCGCGTCTTGGGCGCCACCTCAGCCTGGGCGGCGGCCCACCTGCCCCGGCTACTGCCGCGGTGCCGCGAGCGGAGCCCCCCGATGGGTCCGGACGTGGGCGGCGGCGGCGGCGGCGGCGGGGCCGGGGCGCAGCGCTCCGCAGCGGGAGCCGCGGGCTGCTTGGGCGGCCTGCCCCGCCGGCCCCTCATGTCGGAGCCGAGGCGGCGGGGAGGAGGAGGGGGGGGGGGGAGAAGGGAAAGCGGAGGGGGAGGGGCGGGCGCGAGGGCGGTGGTGGGGGGCGCTGGGACCGGGTGGGGTGGCCGGCGGGCCCGGGCGGGAGGGGCCCGGCCGACGGCAGCGGGTGGAGGGAGAAGGCTCAGTCCGAATTGCTGGGGCCCCACTCCGGATCGCCTTCAGCCGCCATCTTGTTTCTTCCCTCTCGCTCGGTGACTGGGAGAACCGACAGCGGCCGCAGGCCCGGAGCGCGGTCACGTGAGCGGCGCCGCCGACGAGCCTGGGACGGAGCGAGGCCGCGCGACGGCCGCTAGGGGGAGCGCGGGAGCGCCGAGTCGCGGGGGCGGGGGAGCCTGAGGCGCCGGGCCGCCCTGGCGCTCCGGGACCGCGGGCGCTGGTGGCGTCGGGCAGAGGGGCGCGCTGCCCACGAAGGGCCCTCAGCCCGGAGGCCTCGGGGGACAGAAGCACCCCCCACCATCCACCCTGAGGGACTCCTGCCGGAGCCCAGCAGGGCCTTCTTCCCGGGCCTCGCCGAGGGGGGAGCAGGAGAACCCCCTAAATATCATTCCCCATCCCGCCCCCTTTGGGGAAACTGATGCTGACGGAACCTGGGTGTTGCAGCTGAGGAATAGGGGGAGGCAAGCCCCCAAGTGACTGAGGGCGCCAGCATCGGTGGGAAACGAGCCCCCAATAATCTGAAACTCCCGGGCTCGGGGTTGTAGAGCGTCCTGAAACAGATCCACTTGACAACTGCCCGGGGACGGCGCCAGGAGCCACGCCCCGGGCGGCCGACCCTCGGGGTCCCTGCCGAGACTCCCCCACCCTAAAGACCTCGCGCAGACTCGGAGTCGGTCTGTCACCTGTCCCCCGGCCCCGCCTGAAGCTCGACCTCCTCAGCCAAGAACTTGAGGGTCTCTGAGTTTGGGCAGCGGGAAAAGCAGCGTCCCACTTACAGTCGACTTCTCCCTACTGTTTGCGTGTGGTATTGCGCAATGATTTTAATAGCTTTATCTCACCTGCTCGCGGGTTATCCCGGGCCACCAACCCTAATGACGAAGTTCCAATCCCCACCACCCCGCCGATACACCGATTTAGGGACGCTCATCCCCGAGGTGGCGATGAGAGAGAAGGGTTACTAGAAACAACTCATGCTTTTTACCGGAATAGGGGACAATCAAGAAATAATTTGGAGAAAAACAGTTAATGAGATTCTTCCCACCCTTCAGCTTGTTGCAGTCTAGCCTGGAGGGAATGTTACAGGAATGAAAGTTCACACCTAAGTACTAATGGTCAAACTAAAGCCTTCGGTACCATTCAGCTGAACACCAAAGGTGGCACATGCGCATATCTATAGGGACCCAGAAGTAGGTAAAGAAAGTGGGTCAGGCCTGGCAGGTAGGGCAAGATGACCCCTTTGGATAGGTTCTGGCACCCAGAGAACCTGGCTGAGCTGCAGCCATTGCGGCGGTGTGAGGAGTGACCCAGTAGGTGAAAGATCTCTTTATTTCCCTCTGTAATTTTGCGGTTCAAATAAATAAATAAAAAGTTTTTTTTAAAAAGGAAGTGTCTTTATTGCCTAAAAGAGTGACTTTCTGGTCTCTCATTCTCAGTATCTCAAGTAAAATTTTTTAAAAAAAGGTGTTTTAAAGATGGTGGCTGAAATATGGGCCTGAAATGACAGATCCTGAGATTTTTTTTTTTCCAAGAACATGTGGAAATGTGGATTTCTTGTGAAATTTCATCCTCCTTAAATGCTGGCAATTGATGCCAGTGTCTCCAGTAGCTTAAGCGACTGACTGCAATGCCAGCATTCCATGTAAGTGCTGGTTCAAGTTCCAGGTGCACTGCTTCCATCCAGCTCCCTGCCAAAGCACTTGGGAAAGCAGCAAAATTTCTCTATATAAATATCTGTATCTTTACATAGAAAGAGAGCAACAGAGAGATCTATAACTTTGCTGCCTTTCAAATAAATTTTTTAAAGGAGAAGTTTTTGTTTGTTTGTTTATTATTGCAAAGTCAGACAGAAAGGAGGAGAGACAGACAGGAAGATCTTGCTTTAACTGATTCAATCCCCAAGTGACCACCAATGGCCAGTGCTGCGTCTATCCAAAGCCAGGAGCCAGGAACCTCTTCCATGTCTCCCACTCGGGTACAGGGTCCTAAAGCTGGGCTGTCCTCCACTGCTTTCCCAGGCCAGAAGCAGGGAGCTGGATGGGAAGCAGGGCTACCGGAAATGGAACCAGCGCCCGTATATGATCCCTGTGCATGCAAGGCAAGGACTTTAGCCACTGGGCTACCATGCCAGGCCCCTGAAGTTTTACTTCTTTATTTATTTTTATTTTTTATTGGAAAGTCAGATTTACAAGGAGAAGGGGAGACAGAAAAATCTTCCATCTGCAGGTTCACTCTTCTGCTGGCCACAATAGCCAGAGCTGCACTGAGCCAATCCAGAACCAGGAGGCAGGAACTTCTTCCAGGTCTCTGATACAGGTGCAGGGTCCCAAGGCTTTGAGCCATCCTCAACTGCTTTCCCAGGCCAAGAGCATGGAGCTGGAAGGATGTGGAGGAGCCGGGATAAAAACCAGTGCCCAGGGCCCGGCACAGTGGCGCAAGTGGTTAAAGGTCCTCACCTTGCACGCCCGGGATCCCATATGGGTGCCGGTTCTATCCCAGCTTCCCTTCCAGCTCCCTGCCTGTGGCCTGGGAAAGCAGTCGAGGACGTCCCAAAGCTTTGGGAACCTGCACCCGCGTGGGAGACCCGGAGGAGGCTCCTGGCTTCGGATCGGCATAGCATCGGGCGTTGCGCTCACTTGGGGAGTGAATCATCGGACGGAAGATCTTCCTCTCTGTCTCTCCTCTGTATATCCGCCTTTCCAATGAAAAAATAATAAAAATAAATCTTTAAAAAAAAAAAAACCAGTGCCCATATGGGATCCCAGCACATGCAAGGCAAGGACTTTAGCCACTAAACTACTGCACTGGGCACATTTTTTTTTAATGACAACTAAGTCAAATTTTAAAAAGCATTAAAAATTGATCACAATATACACAGTTCAGATAGAGCCCAGGGTCTGCACATTTGCATGTGTCCTTACAATGTGAAGCACAGTTCTGTGTGCTACGAAGAATACACAGATACTAGAAATGAACACAGCCTTCAGGCTTTACATGGGGGAAAGGCATTCACCAGCACTCACCCCAGATATCCCAGCAGCCAGCACACTTGCGTTGCTTAAGAGCGTTCAGTTACAAGCCACAGAGAACTTGACTGGCTCCTATGACTACAAACAGAACGTACAGGAAGAACCATCTAGAATCTTTCGCTCTGTGTGTGAATGGAATCTGGCATGCTCAAGTTGTTGCCTTCTGTCAGGCTCAGAAGCCCAGCATTCCCCAAGCAATCCTATGGCCCATAAAGCCAGCCACTTGTGGTTGTGACAGTGCGTTGTAAAGTCAGCTCCTTGGGCAGATATCCAGAGACGTATGAGATGTCAGGTGGGTGGATCGGGTATTTGGTACGCTCATGTGGGGAGATGATGATAGGAGCATGACTGGCAGAAATAGCTGATCTCAGCTCAGTCTGAGCCCCTTTCCAAGGACGTGGACTCACTGGGTCCACCATGATAGAGCATATGACAATGATTGCCTTCAAAATGGGTCCTCAAGCCTAGTGGTGGCTTGATGGCAGGCCCTTCTCTGGGGGTTCTCATAGAGCACCATGCCAGAGTGAAGGGCAGCCTCAAGCCATTGCCCAGCTTCATAGCCTGTCGACTATGAGCACTGATGAGGATTGCATGATATAAAAAAATATTAATAGGGCCTGGCGCAGTAGCCTAGTAGCTAAAGTCCTCATCTTGCACGTTGTGATCCCATATGGTGCCAGTTCTAACCTCGACAACCCTGCTTACCATCCAGCTTCCTGCCTGTGGCCTGGGAAAGCAGTAGAGGACAGCCCAAAGCACCTGCGTGGGAGACCTGGAAGAAGCTCCTGACTCATGACTTCAGATCAGTGTAGCTCCAGCCTTTGTGGCCGCTTTGGGAGTAAATTATCACTTGGAAGATCTTCCTCTCTGTAAGATGATAATAATAGGGCCTGGCACAGTAGCCTAGCGACTAAAGTCCTCGCCTTGCATGCACCAGGATCCCATACTAGCACCGGCTCTAATCGCGGTGGCTCCGCTTCCCATCCAGCTCCCTGCTTGTGACCTGGGAAAGCTGTAGAAGACAGCCCAAAGCCTTGGGACACTGCACCCACGTGGGAGACCTGAAAGAGACTCTGGGTTCCTGGCTTCAGATCAGCTCAGCTCTGGCTGTTGCAGTCACTTGTGGAGTGAATCATCTGTCTCTCCTGTATATATCTGACTTTCAAATAAAAATAAATAAATCTTTAAAAATGATAATAATAATAAAATTTAAACTTTAACCAAAGAAAAATAGGTCCTACACAATCACAATAGTGAGGGCAGTCTTGAGGGAAGCCCATGATGAGCTGACCATCACTTCAGCCCAAGCACATGGCCAATGGTCATGATCTCAGGAAGCAGACACTGGCTGGGGAAGGAGCTTGACCTACATATATGGGCAACTCTTGTCTGATAAAAGCCTCCCTAGCTGTGAGGATGTTCTGATGAGTATTCATGTTGGTCTACTCTAAGAGGGTCCACCTGTATCCTTTCTCCCAAACTTCCTTGTCAATGATCTAAGTCCACGATGGCCTGAATTGATGTAGAGACTTCTTCTCACACAATAACGAGAATACACCTCAAACTTCCGTCTCCTGGGGGAGATTTTTTGTCACTGTCCCTCCAGCCTGCTTTGAAGCGCAGTGATGTCACTTCTGCAAACCAAACTCAACTGTGGTCTTCCTACATCACTTGGTCACAGAGAGGTCTTCCTAAGGTCATGGTTGAGAACTGAGGGAGTGATGGCTATAAAATGAGACTGAACACGCTTGTGCCACTTCTGTACTTCTTAGAGACCTGTTTGTGCCTGTTCTTATAATATACCACAATCTCTTAAGGAAAGAAGTGCTTCTGGACACACCTTATGGCTAAGTGGAACAGACACTCCATTCAAGCTAAACCATACAAATATATGTTCACCTGGTTTTCACTCTGCCTTGGCCCCAGGTTCAAAGTCAGAGTATCCCACATCAGAGTGCCTGCTTCCAGTCCCAGCTGCTTCACTGCTGATCAAGCATCTTGTTTATAACCACACTGAGAA